TTTTTCTTTCAAATATAATAAGGGCAAAATGATCATTATGTAAGTCTGATTTAATGCCAGAAAAATGATTAACTTTCTCAAATTTACTCAAGTCCTTATTCACAAATCAAATCTTGGTCAAGTTTTTTTTTTTGACAAGTTTCCCTCATTATAAATTGTTTTAGATACTTTTATATAAATTAAAAAAATTACATGATTTGATATGTTTAAAAATATTTAAATATTTCAATTGTCTATCTATTTATTTCTATTTTTATAAAAGAGTTAATAGAATTTTCACTCAAATAATGAGACCGTTATTAAAATTATAAGAATAACAAAACATTTAATATCTTCACATCTTATCTTATATACAAAGTTGTATCATGACCAAACCTTAAAAAAAAAAAAAACCAAAAGAAAACGACGCTGCTATTAAAAATGTTTCTCCAGCAAAGAAGGGGATCCAGAAGAAGAATGCCATTTTTTTTTTTTTTTCACTTTCCTTCTTGGTCATCTACGAATTGAATTTAATAAGGTGAGGGGATTAGTCAAAAGGCCTTTTTAATCCCTGATATTATATCCGTCATCTTTAAGCCAGATTATGGTTGTTAATTACTGAGTTGAATTGAACTGAAATATATTTGCCCAACAGTGTCACTGTCCGAACAGATTACAGCGCTGGGGACATAGAACTCAGTCTCAGGCGGTGCTGCAGCCTTCAGCTAAAGACGGCTTCCCATAGAGTGCAAGATAAAACTGCTGATCAGGACCAGCGCAAGGCGCTCCAGTCTGCGTCCTCCTCCTCAAGTGCTTCCAAGGTATGCTCGATCCAATATTTGATTATGTTTACTGTATTTTTCTCGTGCAAGCCGGGGTCAATCCAACGTTTTCGGACGAAGCCGATCATGGTGCTTCCCGAATCACGATCATTCTCTGCTCTGCACCTCCACTGAGGCCAGTCGATTTCATTAAGAAATTCCACCGCATACTCCCTCTCTGGCTTTCCTTAAATCGATTTCTTCACCTCTTTCAAGTTCATTGACGTCATGGCCTCCGGTACAGAGAAAAAAAAACCCTGTATATGGTCTTCTCCGCAATCGCTAGCAACTCGAAAATAACATAGTGTATTCTTTGCTTCTTCTGCGTTGTTGAGGAAAAATTTGGTCGCTATACGAGGATCTCACATTATTATTTTCCCCAGTAATTTTGGTTTAACTTGGCGAGCATTACTTGGCACTTGAGAGTCCATCAAGAAAAAAATGCGATAGACAATTAATCGTTTGTATCAGAGAAAGAAAAGTGCCAATGTGTTCCGTACGGGCACCGCTCATCTGTTTTTATCCGTTCCTTTTGAAACTTGCAAGTTATAACCCAGATTCGTGAGTTTCATTGTTCTGTGCATTTTAATCACTGATGTTCCTAGGCTACAGACTTATCTTCCCCCCGAATTATGACCCTATTTATATCCCTGATCATCGCTCGTCATTTGGTCATCTACATACATACATATATATATTCTTCAGGTAATTGCAAAGCTAGCATGATGCAGATCTTCTCTCCATTCCTCTTAACTCATGTGCTTCTTTTTTATTCTTTATATCTACCTTGGAAACAACCCCGCAAAAGAGGGGGGGGGGGGACAAGTCTCACGTTATCTCTAGTGAGAACCCTTGAATGGATCGGACTCCAGGGACGGAGAACACGTACATAGCGGTTTGGGCGGAGTCATTTAAGTATGGGAGCACGAAACTGGCGACGCAAGGAATGGGGAGCTTAAGCACTTTATAGATCGAGAATTTGATGCCATAGATGATGAATAGTTCGGTTTCAACTTTCAAATTTCAAACCAAGATCTTATAATTCCATTAATTTTTAAAACCCTGTCGAAAGCCAAGCTGGTTAAAAGATTTTATGTTGCTGATGGTTCTAGTTGCTGATACTGTGTGATATTCTCACCACTAACCGATGCATTAGTTTCATTATAAACAACTATGGAATTGCTGAGAAACCCAGAAAGTCAAAACAGGGCACAAGCAAAAGTGAGGTGAATGTTCGGCAAGCAAGGATATGCGAGTAAAACTCTCTCCAATCTGAAGTCATGACATCGATGAAAGGAGGGGAAGAAGAAGTCAATTCTGATATGAGCTGCCATTGAAGACTAAAAAGGAGGAAAGGAGTAGAGAAAGAGAGAGAATTGGGGAGGGTGAGAGAGGTCAAGAAAAAAGGGAGAGCGAGCATGGGTTGGAATTTTGTGAAGGTACAAGCACGTTGTTTTGCCTCAGTGGAGGTGCAGGCCGAGGACCGACTCTGCAAATAAAAAAAATAAAATCCAACGCATATTCCCTCTATATTTTCATCTTGTGAAACTCATTTACCGTTCACGCGGTCTTGGTAGTAGCTTTAAGTTTTAACCCCTCTTGCCATTTTTTTTTGTTGGGATTTTTTTGTGTGGCATTGGAAGAGGAGTGAAAGTGTTGGCGTGTTCGAAAATCGAAATACATATAACGGATTTTTTTTTTTTCAAAAATATTCATAATGTTTGTCAAGAGGAGTTGAGTTTGACTTTGGGTTATTCCAAAACTACAGATTTAGGTCGATACTTAGGAATGTAATTACATTCAAAGCCTGTTGATAAAAACACATTTGCTGACATTGTGGATAAAGTTAAATCTAGATTATCCTCTTGGAAAGCAACATCCTTCGCTCTTGAGGCCAAACAACTCTAGTCTCTACTATTATTATTGCCATCCTAAGGTATATTATGCAAACTGCTTTATTACCTGCTCAAACATCCGAAACTCTTGATAGGGCCATTCGAAGCTTCATCCGAGGTTCCATCAAGGAGAAGAAAAAATGCATCTTGTATCTTGAAATACTATTGGGATGAGTAAGAAACAGTGAGGTTTGGGCATTAAGCATGCTAAGGTTCAGAACTAGGCACTCCTCATAAAGTTTGGTTGGAAACTAATGACACTAAAAGACAACCTATGGGTTAGAGTTATACAAGGAAAATATAAGTGTGGAAATGACCTTCTCCCCCAAATCAAGAAGTCAAAATCAAGTTCTAACAAATGGTCTGGAATTAAAGCTATGTGGGATAGGGTTCAGGTGGGGATTGAAATTGTTAATATTGGTCAATAGGTCCGATGGAAATGGGAAAAACATGGCGATTTCTCAACTAAATCTTCGTATTCTCATCTTTACAAAGGACAGGAAGAGGTGATAGAAAGCGGGCTCTTATCTGAAAGATGAATATACCCTAGAGATGTAAATCTTTCATGTGGCTTCTTCTCCACAACAAACTTCTGACGAATGACGCGAGAAGATATAGGAAGATGACTAATGATGATTGGTGCCCTTGGTGCCTTAGCTTTACGAGCTGCATGTTATGGGAGATTGTCCTTAAACATTCCAATATTAGTGCAAAATTATCTCCTCTACTTATAAAGGAGTTTTCTTCAGGGCATCATGGAAAGAATGGATTTGTTGGAACCTTCAGGTTGCTGGATGAAAGATGACACTTGACTGGGATAATATTTTCTCTGAGTTGCTAGCAAATATGGTAGCGTGGTAATGTTCAACTTTTTGAACAGGCGAACAGGAGCAATGATAGTATGCATGCTCAGGTGACTTATATTACCTCAACTATGATGCAATAGGGTTAGTATGGATAAAGTGAATGTTACGGGCCAGATTTTGGAACTGAGACGAGAAACATGGCATGCCCCCTTGATTGGGTTTTGCTTAATGTTGATGGAACATACTCATCATCTCTCTTAATATGTGGATGTGGGGGAGTTTTAAGAAATAATACAAGTACTTTTCTTTTTAGATTTATGCATGGTAATATGGGAAAGACACCCTTGAAATTGAATTGTGGGCCATCCTCCTCGAGTTGAAGGAAACTTGGGATTTGGGATATCGGAAAGTTATTGTAGAGAGCAAGGTTTTAAAAATCGAACTGGTCATTGAACCGGACGAGGCATTGGTTCATGGTTCATTGGTCGAACTGTGGTCGAATCGGAGTCGAACCGGTTGATATTAAATTAATATATTTTTAATTTATATATCATAATTAAATAAAAAATACATTTAAATATGCATTTTTTTCAAAAATATATTATAGATGCTTGATAATATAATTTTTTTTATTGATAAATACATAATTAATATTAATTATAACTGAAGCTTTTCATTTAAATATCAAGAAAGATGTAATTTAATTTTAATTTTAATTTATTTTTTTATTTTTTTTAATTTTTTCCGGTTCTTTCATGAGAACCGGTCCGGTTTTTGTTCGGTTTTACCGGTTTTTGACCGGTTTAACCGGTTGTTGACCGATTCTCTGCTGACCGGTTTTTAAGGGTCGACCGAACCGGACCAGGAGCCGGTTCCCGGTTCAACCGATTGAACCGGCCGGTTCGGTTCGGTTTTTAAAACCCTAGTAGAGAGTGATTCTATCAAAATTATTCATCTAATTCAAGATTATTGCAATCCTTTGCATCAACATTTTACCCTCATTGAGGAAATTCATCAGACTTGGTAAAGAGATTGGGAGATTTCTATAAGACATTAATAGAGAGGGCAATGTAATAGCGGATCAACTTGCTAAGCTCACTTGAATGTGCTGGCCTGGTTTTCTTATATTTACTTCTCCACCTCATGTTATTGAACATTTTCTTTTAGCTAATTGTAATAACCCACATCAAATGTTGTTTGGTGTGCCCCCTGTCCCAAAAAAAAAAAAAAAAAGAACAGGGACTCTTGCTCCTTGGCCTTGTTGTGAAGGCCAAACTACCCTCCCATGTAGGCAAGTAATAGATGCGTGTGATCCAATCGCTCTTGACGAGGGTGGGTCTTGTTGAGAAGCATTGCTAGGTGACCGTTGGGTGTCCGAGAGATTTGATGGTGTTGTGGGTGGGTCCCACGATAAAGAAAAGGAAACTTAACCGCGATTGCTTGATTAACTATGGTTAACCCTGCCCCGGTTTTTTGGGGGTCTCTCTGTCTATTCTGGACACAGCCACCTCCGTGCGTGCATTTTACTGATTGGCCGCACTGTTCTTCTGCAGCTCTGCCAGTCTTTCCCGTCATCTGCATGCACTTGACTCTCTCCCTACTCTGAAATTTTGGGTTCTCTTTCTTCGAACCGAAATAAAGTCTTTGAAGATGGCTGTGGATAACATCCAGCGTAATTGACGAACGATCACTTCCATCCTGTTGCATTTGGATGATCAAACTTCGTTAATTCGAGGAACTTTCGTTGTCCGAATTTTTGTTTTCTTTTGGATGACCTGTTGAGGGTTTTACGGGCTATTCAGAGTTGTTAGCTGTGATTGGAGTTAGTTGACTCCGCCATACTCTTTGGCGAGAATTACTCCTGTGATTTTACTGGGAGCTGTAGTCTGGGGTTTTGTTTTGCTGATTATAAAATTAACCACATCGAATCTTTTTCAAGTCTTATGACTTACTTGGGTCGGTTTGGGTACGATATAGCACCTAAAAAATTGTTTGACTCATGCTCTATAATTAATTCAATTTTGTATTATAGTTTGGTTCGTGATAAGGACTTCAGCACTCAAAGAAATATTTTTATTTTGCTTACTACGGCAGGCTAACGTCGAGTATTCATTTCTTTCATCCTGAGTCGGCTTCCGAAGGCTTCCGAGCTAATATAGGATGTCGAAAGTAACAGTAAGTCCCAGGTGCCTCAAAGTGGGGAAGCGCTTCTGAGTATTACCCTGTGCTTCCATCGGTCATCATGCCTCTTTACGAGTTATACAGAATGACTAAAGCGAACCTCGAAGAGAAAGACAGCACATGTGCAACTGATCGATCTTCCGCGTAAGTTTTGTAGCGCCCACTGCAGTAAGCTTTTCATTCAGTTCATTTCATGTGTTTGAATTTGAATCTGTCATTTCATTTCTTTTTCTTTTTTTTTTGTGAACAATCCTTCATTTCATTTCACAATTGCTTGTTCATGTTCATTCCGTGTCCTCGTTCGTGTGTTGAAATGCAGACCGGAGAATGACTTTTTTGAGTTGGTTTGGGAAAATGGTCAGATTTCGATGCTGGGTAAGTCAAGCAGAGCAAGAAAGAGCCCCGTACATAAGAGTCTTCCATCTCACAGCTTACCATCTCACAGTCCAAGGACTCGAGATAAAGATGTAGGATTTGATGTCGATACAAGGATGGGTAAGGTAGGGGATTTAGACTCTGGATTGAATGAAATTCCAATGCCTGTTCCTCCGGATGAAATGAATTTAAGTCAAGATGAAGACATGATACCTTGGTTAACTTACCCAATGGATGACTCTTTGCAACATGAATATAGTTTTGATTTCACGCGTGATGTATCTGGGGTCACCGTAAACGAGTTCCCGGGTGCCTCAAATAATTTTGCTCTAATGGATAAAAGGTGTATCGGCAACCAGGTATATAAGGACTCTCACAAAAGTCCTGAGCATGATGTTTCAAGTTCAGAACAGGCAAATCCTACCAAGGTATCTTCAACTGGAGAAGTCGAGACTAGCAGGCCGAAAGGAAACAACAGCCAGTTATATCCACCATCATCGCAGCAATGTCAAACATCATTTGCATCTATTAGATCAAAAATATCAGATATCACTGAAAATAATACAAGTAATGCAATACTGCAATCACCTTGCGGGGAAATCACTCAGATTCCCTCTTCATCTAGTGGTTTTTGTAGCCTAAGTATGCAGAAACAAGATCCATTATGTCCTAGGAATAGTTCTAACACGATGAATTTCTCCCATTTTGTAAGACCTGCTGCTATTGTGAGAGCTAATCTTCAAAGCATCAGTATGATGTCTGGTTTGTCTTCTGCAAGACCAGTTAGCTTGGGAACTAGGAAAAAAGATGTTGATGCAAGTAGCAGTAACCCTCCTGAATCAATACTCGTTGATTTAGATAATCAAAAAAAGCTGGTCATGGACCTATCAAAGGCTGAGTTGAAACCGGCCAATCCAAAATCTCTCGGACAGAAGGATGATTTTGCAGAGCAGCATGACCCTGCCTGCAAAGAGGAGGGTGCATTTAAGAACGATCAAATTTCCAATCAAGTTCCCACGGAAAGTGGCACTAAAGGGCAACCAGCTGCTGAAAAAAACATGAACCCTGAAGTAGCCTCTTCCTCCATTTGCTCAGGAAATAGCATGAAGAGAGATTCAGATAATGCAGATAAGAATTTGAAGCGAAAAAGTCTAGATACTGAGGACTCTGAGTGTCACAGTGAAGTTAGTGTGTTTGCCTAACACTATTCTGTACGGCAATTTCGTTCTCTTTCGTTTATATTTTTCATTTTTGAAGCAAGAAAATATTTTTACTTGCAGGAAGTTGAGGAAGAATCAGTGGGTATCAAAAAGGCAGCTCCTGCACGAGGTACAAGTTCTAAGAGAAGTCGTGCAGCTGAAGTGCATAATTTATCCGAAAGGGTGAGCAGGGCCAACCACTGGTTGCGTGGTGTTAAATATGTTTTGAAGTAAAAAAAGAAAGAGCATTAGCACACAATTTTTGTCCATGAGTTCATGTTCTTGTGTTTCTGTTATATATGACTATTCATGGTACTCTTGTTGACTTTTGTATCCAGAGGCGAAGAGACAGGATCAATGAGAAGATGCGCGCATTACAAGAACTTATCCCAAATTGCAATAAGGTGATTTCTCTCGGGATTTAAATTTCGATCAGGGGATTACAAAATTTGTTCTTGTAGGAGTATTATGAACTTACATTGTAGGTTAAAGCAATAGATGTCAAATCTTGGAGCCCAGCATTTTGGGCAAGGCTGCAACCTTTCAATTGCATGTGAAAATATTACCTTTGGCAGAGTTAATTCTAATGGATATGACGGAAGCTTCATACCTTGAACATTAAACTTGCTGACCAAAAAAGAAAAAGAACATAAAAAAACGTAAAATCTTAACGCATTTATGTCAGGATCATATTGCTTAGTTGATTCTTTTTTTGCTGATTTTGTTTCCTCTTAGGTGGATAAGGCCTCGATGCTGGATGAAGCAATTGAGTATCTTAAAACACTTCAACTCCAAGTTCAAGTGACCTCTCTCTCTCTCTCTACCGCTCTTTTACCCTTATCTTTTAATTAATTAATTTATTTAGATTTTGAATTATCAAGTAATAGCATGGGTTCGTTTCCTATCTTTATATGCAGATTATGTCAATGGGAGCTGGTTTATATGCGCCTCCAAATCCGTTGATGTTGCACCCTGGAATGCAGCACATGCAGGCACCACATATGGCTTCATTCTCACCTATAGGAATTGGCATGCAAATGGGGTTAGGAATGGGTTATGGGTTGAGCATGCCTGAGATGAATGGTAGATCCCCTAGATTCCCTATGGTTCAGGTGCCCCAAATGCAAGGACCTCATTTCCCTGTTTTACCTATGCCTGGACCCACTGCTGCCTTGCATGGGATGCCAAGATCAAGCCACCAAGCATTCGGGTTTCCTGGTCAGGGATTTTACATGCCGATGCTAAATGCTCCAGGACTTTCTGTGTCAGGAGGGCCCGTCATGAACCCTTCAACTCCGGGACAAAACGCTTTAGGAGCTGCAGGAGTTGGGGAAACTGTTGATTCGGCTTCAGCCTCTAGTTTAAAGGATGCAATGCCAAATGTGGATTCACAAGTCATGCTAAGCACGGGTGTCAGTAACTCCACAATTCAGATGTCTACTCGGGTACTGCTCAATTTCTTGAGATGTTATGGGTTCAACATGCACTAAACATGCTAGCAGATTGACTTTTTACAGTAAGACATGGTATCCATTTATATATACAGGCTATCCACATAACAGGCCCTAATCATGCTGAATGCTCATCTTCTTTACATTCTTTACCTTTTACTGTTGAAGGACATGCTTGAGATGTTACATAATTTTTAAATTAGGATGAATCCCACAAAATTAACTTATAGGGACAGTTTTAAATTTCACACTACTAAAGGGCACTCGTGATTTTAGAAGCGTAGAAAAAGATAGAACTGTAAGGAACATTGAGAAGTTGGATGCAAATTATTCCATGCTTTGTCTCGTAATAGTGGATAAATGTGCAGATTCTGACCCTTCCTCCTATTTATTTGTCTATTATTCATTTGTTTAGCGTCTACTCTAATCGTATCGTTTACAGCTTTTCGCCTTATTTTTTGCAATTTATATCCTCTTGCCGATGTTCTTCTATCAACCATAATGGCAGTGTGAAGCAACGAATGTTGGAGTTGATCAGTCAGCACCAGTGCAGACTTGCGGGCATACCTCCAATATTAATGACAGTGGAGCTACAAATCCTGGTAAAGAAGATAACCTTGTGATTGGTAAATCTTGTAAGTATCATTAAGCACAAACACTCATCGACATCTAGATCTAGTCCTTTCATGTTTTCAACTTTTGACATATCTTAAGTTAACTAATAGCCACACCTCATATCTCACCATTCTTGCCCACATACAACAACCCGCTACACGATTGATATTGTTCATGACGTTCCTATTCATGACTTATGAACATATGATGTTCTCTCTTAATTTTATTTATTTAGGTGGAATCAATTGCCATTGCCAATAATATGGGAATCATGTTTTTGTCATTAAAATTTGAGGTAAAAAAAGGGTAAAAGCAAATGTGAAGTTTAATATTGAGTTGCAATGATTATGGCTTATAAATATAAATCATGCAAGTTCCTCATGCTCGCTTATAAAATATAAATAGTGAGAGCGTCCGTCTAGACCATTTCTCTAAAATCAAATTTTAATTAACAGTTAAAAAAACATTTAAATGTATGCAGCCTTGAGAGGAAAAGTTGTTATTTGTATTATTTAATGCCTGTAAGGGGTATAATTCCGTGTATATATGACCCCTATTATTTTGCTTTTCTTATAGGTAATGACTGACGCTCAGATCGTTGGCTGTTGAACTTCTTTGGATGATTCTTATCGTTATAAGTCCAACAACATAGAATATGTTAGAATCGGTGAGGATGACCCATTAAGTCTATTTTCAGAAGCCTAATTACTGGACTTTAGGATAAAAAAATTACAAATTCTAGTATAATGGATGATGACACTCATTTGTACATTCATTTGGTGACCTTCCAATTGATCAGTGCAAAAATTCAAATTCCGCGTAGAAATACGGACTACAATGTATCACTCATATTTTTCCTTGTGATTCTTTGTATTAATAAAATAATAGTGTTATCATTGACCATGGCAATCTCTGGTTTCCCTTTCCTACCTTGCAGAAACAAGGGGGAAAAAGTGACTCATGTCTGTAAGGCGAATTCTTATTGAAGATGCGCTTGCTTTCATGAGTTTCTTGCCGCGTACTGATACCCCTGTTGGGTTCGACTTCTAGTAATCTCTTTCATGGGAGCAATTCTTGTGTACCTGGACATGTAATTGTTTGCACTTATCAGGTCTCCATGATACTTCAACTATATCTCTTGCGTGCACACTAGATTTTCCATAAAACCCGTCTGTGCGGACCAGATGATGGTTACGTCAAAATATAGGCGTAGTTCACCCAAAAATAAATAAATAAAGGTTTCCGAACGATTGAAACGAGTGTCAACTCGCGCTGGATGTGCTTTTGTCCTAAAAATATCTCATTAATTTGCTCATATAAACACACTCTATAGGGGTTCCTATCAAGATTATAAGATCAGGTAGATCCAGAACTCGGCTTTGACACGACCAATTTTCAAGTTTTGCCATAACATATGTTCTTTAACAATCTCTATCAGGTCATATATGATCCTGCACAACCAATTTTAAATTGATCCGATAATTTATTAAGAACAATCAAGAACACAACAATACATATCCCCAAAATGAATAACGCATAAACAAACAATCAAAAAGATTTCAGCAGTGCTTAAAGCATGGCCTATATGTAGATCTTCTATTTACACTACACTCAGCACACTCTTTTCATTCAATTCAATTACAACCAAAACCAATAAGAAAAAAACAACTATGCTATTCACCACAACCCTGAGAAAAGTACAACACCTCTGTAAATTCTGAAAGCTTGCTGAATCCATTCCATATGTACCGTTATTTGACTTTAATATCGCCTTTGGTGTCTGCAGTGAGATTCTTGGAGCTTGGGGATTTCCCAGTGAGAGCCTTCTTTGCTTTCACTAGTGATTGTTTGACCTTTGATATTATGTTATTTGATTGCTTTTGAGATTGTTTGGTCCCAGTTTCTCTCGGAAGGTCCTTGGCTGTTTTCGTGGCATCGCTTTCTTTGGTGGCAGCCTCTGTAATCGGAGTCTCCGTTTTCACAGGCTCATCGACTCGTTCTTTCTTTGCACCCGATTCCTCTTCTTCAAATTTAGATGCCAAAGTTTCTCTAATGGGCTCACTTACAACTGAAGACCCATCATCCACCTTATTCTCTATCTTGTCCGCTTCAGGCTGATTATCTTTTATGGTGGCCACCATTTTCACACCCTCTTCTTCTACTTCAGTTGTTGTTTCCTTCTCTTCATTCTTTTGTTCTACAGCCTCGTTTACTTGCACTTCTGCTTCTCTTGACAATTCTTCAACAGCATCAGATGCCTTTAATTCTTTCTTTTCTTCCACACTGGGAGCAGTAGGATTCTGTTTTTCTTCTGTCTGGTTGGTTTCAATTTCCCGATTAACAGGAATGTGTTGGGTATTTTCTGAAACTCCGACCACTTCTTTTGACACCCCTTCGACTTCATCCTTCTTGCCCTCTTCTTCAACAACTTTCTCTTCATCTACAGAAGATTCCACTCCATTGGCTGCAGAGCCTGCTTCAGCTTCCTCCTTGGGTGCAGCTTGAGTTGTGTTTCCGGTGACACTAATTCCCTCCCTCTCACATTTCTCTTCTTCAACAACTTTCTCTGCAATTGCAGAAGAAGATTCCACCCCATTTCCAGTGGGTACTTCACCTTCCTCCTTGGATGCAACTGGTGCCATGTTTGTGGCGACACTGATTCCCTCCCCTTTGTCACGTTTCTCTTCTTCAGCAACTTTCTCTACTGTCACAGGAGAAGATTCTACCACATTTGCAGATGCTGCTTCAGCTTCCTCCTTTGGTGTAACTTGTGCAGTGTTAATGGTGAGACTCGTTTCCTCCTCCTTGTCAATTTTCTGTTTCTTCATTGTACCATCTGAGGTCTCTTTAGTTGCCTCAGACTCACCCGCAAGTTCGTTCTCAGTCACCACCTCCTTAATCTTTTCCTCTACCTTCGAATCCTCTTCTCCTGGCCTTTCCTCCACTGCATCAGACACAAGCTCTTGTTTAGTCTCCACGTCCTCGTCTTTTTTCTCAAACTCTGAGAGTTCTCTTGGCTTTTTCTCCACTGCATCAGACACAAGCTCTTGTTTAGCCAACACGTCATCGTCTTTTTTCTCAAACTCTAAGAGTTCTCTTGGCTTTTCCTCCACAGCATCAGACACGAGCTCTTGTTTAGTCTCCACGTCCTCATCTTTTTTCTCAACTTCTGAGAGTTCTTTTGGCTCTTCCTCCACTTGGAGAGACCCGAGCTCTGGTGTGTCCACAGTCTCTTTCAATATCTCTGGCTCGTCAGGAGGTCCAACCTCAACCGTGTCCTCATCTTTCTCTCCGATTTCAGAGATAACTGTCTGGGATTTCTCCTCTTGTTCTTTATCTAAGGTTTGCTTTTCCGGTTCACTGGGGTGATCCTCAACTTCTGTAACCACAGGTTCTGGATTTTCTGGTTCTTTGGGCCCTGCTTCGTGGGCGCTACTGTCTTTCACTACCTCCCCATCAGATTTTTCTACTTCTGTTGCTTTTTCCACAGTTGCATCACTGGGTTTTTGGATGGCCTCAACTGAAGGTTCCGGAATTGAAACTGTCATTTGCTGCTCCGCCTCCTCTTTCTCCACTTCTTTCTCTGCTTCTGATTTTTCCTGCTCTGGCGTGACAGAACTTGTCTCTAAATTCTCAGTCTCTATCACTTCCTCTGATTTTGATACTTTTGGAGGATTAACCTCAACGGGGTCACTTGAATTATCTATGGTTTCAGCTACCACTGCCTTTCTTTGCTCCTCTTCCTCTGTTTCTAGCTTCTTTGGCGTCTCTTTCTCAGTAGCTTCTGCGGGCTGAGACACTTCAGGGTTGCCTGTAGCAAGATTTGCGTCAGGTTCCTTGACATTGATTGTCTCTGAATCAGGAACGAGCTTCTGTTCGTCTTGCTTCATATTATCTGACACCTCAGGAATGCCTTCTTCCTTCACTTGCTTCTCTTGCTTTGTTTCTTTATTCACAATAGGCTCTGACACAGAATCTGCGGCTGGTTCGATTATTGTTGGAGGCTGTGAATGTGGACGAAGTTCCTTGATTTTCTCCTTCAGATTGTCTGCAACAGATTCCTCTAATGCTCCTTCACCATCGGCCTTCTTCTCTTCTCTCTCAGCTTCTTCTTCTTCTGTCTTGGGCATAGGAGGAGCTGCATCTTCAGCCTTGTCAACTTCGTCTTCATTTGCATTTGACAAAGAAACAGTCTTCTCTCCAATGCCTTCTTCATTCTCCTTCTTCTCAACTTGCTGTGATAAGGATGGAAAACCAATTATCATTAAAACTCAACATTCACACTTCAACATTTATATTATTGACAGGGTAAAGGTTAAAATCTGCAGGATATGTAACAAGTATGATATTAGTAGACAAATCAGCAAACAGAAATCAGAATTTGTCTTCTTCCCCCTTTCCATAATTGGACAGCATCTCCAGAAGGTTTATGAAAATGAAATCACTGGAGTTCTTTAATCTGTACATTGCTCAGTGAGTTTTACAAATATTCTCGGTTCTAAAAAGAGGGGAAAACAAAAATGATCAGAGATATTTCATACTGAATGATATACTAACTAGTCTGATACATTCATGCTAGAAGAATCAGTTCAGTCATAAGTGACAACCTTCTAGAATTTTCTTTTTGGGCTTTTCCTTTAGCTATTGCTTTATTCGAACTTATCCCCACTTCTAGTCTGCATCTAATCCGTTTCTCGAGAACAAATCTTATTGTCCTCTTCCATAAGCATAAACATATGCTTGTTGCTGGCATCTTTCAGACTCAGCTTCAGCAGCGAAATGGATAATTTTTGCTGCTATCCCCATATCAAAAAGGGTCATCCAGAACTATTTACCGCATAAAACCTCACCTTTTCTCTCAAGAGCAAAACTATAAATCTTTAACTATTTGGGTCTTGGCCTTAAAAAGGAGAAATATCATCAACATCTGTTTATAGCTACCAACTAAGTACAGTAACCTAAAGAAATACTGATCAAAGTGGGTTAAGGTTATGCCAAAAGTTGATGAGCTAAAAAACTAGAAAAGGAAAAGGCCAAAAAATAAAATAAAGTCAAACCTCATCAGTAGCAGAAGTATGATCAGCAGCAACAGTCTGAGCATCCATGGTGGAGGAGTCCGAGAGCAAAGAGAGGCTCTGAGATGTAGAGAAGTTGAGATGGAGATAGAGAAGGAAAGTGAAAGGGAGGAATAACAAGGTTGGCAACAACCCAAGGAAAAAAAAAGGAGGAAAGGCAGCACAACTTTAGGAAGAAGAACTAGTGTTAAGAGAAAAAAGCAGAAACATGGTTGTCTGACAGACTGTACCACATGAGCTAGTATGGTCTCAATGATTTAGAGGGATCAATCTGCCAGCAAAGTTTTCCCCGTAAAATGAATTAATTATTTGAATTAAATTTGAAAAGATGACCATATGGTTGTGGCCAAGTGACAAGCTTTATTGGAGAAGTTGGGGACCAGATAAGCATCAATGGACTCCCCCATTAAACGGTCCAAATATTTGGCCCCTCATCATTCTTAATATCCAACTTACCAAGTAATTTATAGGATCCCATTACATCATTATGCTGTACATGTAATAGATTATACTGATTTTAATTATTCTTCTTGTTTTTACTAGTTGTCTTTTTTAAAAGAAAAAGAAAAAGAAAATATAGTTGTTATTCTTTACATTGCATCATTATCAGTTGTTGCCATCAATGAGTCCAAAAATGACCTTAATTAAATTGTAGGGGCGTTCCCAAGCGCCATGATTATTTTTAGAACCTGTCAGAAAGGTCAAAGGGATCAATCACCTCTGTGGACGAAGTAGCCAGGCATAACATGTTCAAGAAAATCATCGTAATTACTTGAACTGACCGCATTATCATTTAATCTTCCCATGTGGTCGTGTTCGTTCCACGTTAGCGTCTTCCAATTTGCTCAGATTTTCAAACTGCTATTAAGATGTGGCATTTCAATGACATTATATCCCGTCAAGTCATTTCAAACCATTGCTGAATTTTTTTTAAAAAAAATATATTAAACAGTGTAAGTATAATAATATATTTATTAACGCCGGTTAGTGTTTTTTGGGCCTTTCCAGTTTTTGTACCGCAGGTGTCAGGTCATCCATAGGCAAGGAAATTACATCCTGAGTCATCACTACATTAGGGCTCAACTGATTTTTTTTTTTTTTAATCTTGCGTAGTTAGTTTAATTTAAAAGAAAGAGATTATGAGTTTGTTTGGCTTCTGTTTTTATTTTTTATTTTTAAAAATTTTCAATAACTAAATATGATGCATTTTAAAAATAAAAAATAAATTGAAAATAAATTAAATTTTTTTTATTTTGTTGTTGTTAAAAATAAAAATAGAAACAGTTTTGAAATCAATTAAATAAAAAAATTATCCAAATGAGCGTTAAATTTTTTCTTTTTTTAAAAATAGAAAACAAACAAATCCTATGTCACCTTTCTTATTCTATTTATAAGACAAAAAAAATATTTATTTTAATTTTATTTATAGAACACCTCAACAATTATTGTGCTATCTTTATCCTTATCAAATGTTGTGAAAATCATCATATGATAGATTATTTTATTTTTAAAGTGTGCATATTTAATAAAGGTAGCGTTAAAAACTTGTTAAATTTTTATATGAAGCTAATAAAATTTAAAATTTGTTTGATTTAGAAGTAAAATGTTAAAAATAATCTGTGTATATAGGGCCAAAGTAATTGTGAGGGAAAAATAATTGTTCCAATTGATTTACTGTATTTCTAAATTGTTGCCGGCAGCTGAATGAATCAAAAGTGTGGTGGGAAAAAGGTGAATGAATCAACAGCGAATTAAAGACAATTCTTTAAAAAAAAAAAATGGTTACAAATCTCCATCAAAGAGTAAAGCTGTGTGTGGGAATAGGGACACACTATCTTCGTGGCGACGGTATTGGTTGATAAAGAATTAAAGACAATAGGGAAAATTTTAAATAAAGACAAGGGATGTAATATAATTATCAATCGGTCACAAAAAATTATGATTTTTTTTTCAATTTAAAAAATAAAAGTAAAAATAATTTTAACAATAAAAAAAATAAAGTACGCTTTATTGAATCACTAGTATTAACTTTTTTAATTTATTTATTAATTTATCAATATCATTTATAAATTACATCTATTTATCAAATGAATAGTAATATTAATTATTAATTTATTAATTTATTAATATCAGTTATAAATTATAAGACTTGTCAATAATTTATAATTAATATTAATAAATTAATAAATAAATTTATTAATGTAACAATTGATATTGTTGTTTATAATTAAATAGTTAATGTTAATTTTTATATAATTATTAATATGTCAACTCATATAATTTGTAATGCATATTAGTAACTTAACAAGTGAAATAAAAAAATTAATAATTAATAATTTTACAGTAAATAGTACTTTGATTTTTGTCCACAATTGAATTATTTTCATTTTTATCCTTTTGAATTAAATTTTTTTTTCCTTATTTGAACTTCTTCCAGTACAATAATTATGAGGAAAGACTAAGTCCCTTGATTGGGCTCGGCCCATAATCCATTCACGGATTTTAAGGCTCCGAATCATACAATGTATTAAGATGCCATAGCCCAAATCGTGGGCTTGAAACTCTGGGCTTCAAATGCCTTGATCGAATCCCGGGTGTTCTGGGGCATTTTCCTTAGGTACTCCATTATTTATGCAATTATTGTTTGAATTTGTACACCAATAGCTCAACGCAGCACACAAATTATTAAAAAAAAACAAACAAACAAACAGATAAGTGGGCCCCCAAAAGACAAATGGGTTGATCCAGGAGACAAAAAGAAATGCCCACAAAGTGGAGGACTTTCTACAATCAAAAATTGATTGCATTACATGCGGTGCAAATACGAATGAGAGAAACCAAGTTTTCACGCACATTGATATATTATAATCAATCTCTTTTTAATTTATGAAGTGATAATGTAACTATGAAAGATTTGATTTTTACATGTGCGGCCTGTGCTACTTGTCGATCTGAAAAGGATGTGAGAAATTTGATAAAGACCTCATTGTTGCAATCAAGGGCACAGAGAGGGCTATCGTTCTCTACTGCGGACGAAGCACAACCTGTGACTGAAAACCAAATTGATTGAGAAGACTCAACTCTTGGGACTTAGAATCTCAAACAGTTCTCTCCCAAATTTGAAAGTAATGATGTTTATGTGACGATAAAGTTGACCATCAAAACATGTAATTATTCATGCATGCCTCAAGAACATTTCAACCGGACAAATTAAATGCTATTGATAATTGATATGCCAAGATCTCTCCCTAATTACACTACACACTTTAAACTTGATTAAAAAGAACCAGTTTGGGCGATAAAAGGGGAAACAACAGTATATATGCATGATTTCGCCCTTCAAATAATAAACAAATATTGAGGGGTGGTGATTAGGCGGGTGTTAATGTTCTAGATACAGAAAGCGTCGTGTGTGAGTCATCATCACTTGTCGCCTTGACAAGACAAAAGACATATAATTAAAGTGTTTGTTAGCAAAAACTTAAGAAAATTGCATGTGCTTATGTTTCCAAGCAGCCTTAATGGGCCATTTGAGTTAAGATAACTCGCTCAAGGGTCTTCTCAACCTGACTACATCTCAAGCCACTTCTCTCATCTACTCACTTTCGCCAAGATATTTTCCGCTTCATCGCAATCCATGACCACATAAAATCTTATGCATTACGTTGGAATCAGAAGGACCAAAATTTGAAACTTTGAAACGTCAACCAGGTGTGGGCTGTGGGTTATGACTTGTGCAGTTCCATGGATGCAGTTAGACTGAAGCTCCTCTGATTTTGATGAACACATCAACTGCTCTTTCTTGTCAATTATTAGTTGTTCAACACAAAATTACGGCTTTGGGGATATATACTGTAGAAAAATTGACTTTGTTGTTATTGAAAGTTTTCAATGGCGATAAAAAATTGTAGCAATGTCATCATGAAAATTCTTGTCTCTAATTTTATCGACATGATAATATCGCTGAAATTTGTCACCCTTAAAAGTTGAGAATTGGTAGTGTCATTTGTCACCACAGAAATTATACATAAGTGATGACTATTTAGTTGCTGCTAAATATTGAGTATCAGCAGTGACATTTACCAATTAACGATGACTTTTTTGTCATTGCTGAAAAGTAATACTAGTTTATTTACTCACATGTCATCATGTCACCCTCCCGCTCTCATATGGTGCCATGTCACGTGCCACATGTCACAGTGGTGCCATGTCACCTGTCACGTGTCGTAGTGCCACAAATTCATATTTTCATTTCACAAATTGCCTCTTCCATGATTCAAGCTCATGACTTTCTTTTGTATTCCATATCTTGCTATTGAGTTGGAATGAACTTATAATCTATTATTACATAACTAAATATATAGTTTTAAACTAAACAAACACACACATATCTTACATATTAAATATTATAAAGTATTATAAGTATCATTAAACACTTCAATTTAATTCTTTTAATTTACTAAAATTATAAATTACATTATTTATTTTGTCTAAAGTAAATTATAAATATAATTAATACAAGATCATTTGAATTATTTATTTTTTTGCTTCTTGAGGTTATTGTATTATTTATTTTAATATTTATAGTTATAATTATAATATAAAAATATTTAAGAATAAATAATAAAAATATAAATGATTATGCATTAAATCATAATTATTGAGTTTTCTTGCTAGTTTTAATTAAAATTTTATTTTTACTTTTAATGAACAATAACTTTTAAGTAATGTAATTGTTTTGTTTTTACATTACATTTTACTTTTTTAATTAGTTTTCATGTTTAAATTATACTTTTATAAAAAAATTATCTTTTTTTTATATTTATGTAGTAAGATAGCACCAAAAAAAAATCGTATAGCATCACATACATATATATATATTTTATAATCTCTCATCTTTCTTATTTTCATCTTTCTCTTCCTTATCAATAGCGATCGAATTTAGAACATATAAACTAACATCAAGTTTTAAAGTTGCCGGTATTAAAAGTAAAATTTCAATTGAAAAATTAGATTGGATGAAATATTATTCTATGAATGAATAAATTTAACTATCACATATCTAATAATTATAAATAAGTGGTGTTTTGTTTAAAATATCAATTTAATCATAAAAAATTTGAATAGAGACTCCTTACCACATTATGTGCATTTTAAATTAAAATATCAAATAATAGATTTTTGAATGAATTTATTACTTCACACAGGGTATGCATTAGTTAGTTTAGTTAGATTTAGTGTTTATTGAATAATACTAATGAACTAAACTAACCTAAATAGTTAGACTAAATTAAATTAAACA